AATGACATTATTGCTGAGCTTATCAGGAAAATGATTATCATGTCAGTATATAGTAATCATTATCAGACAAAGATTTATCAGTAATATTTTACTGGATCACATCTGTATTTCACTGGGGCCCAATAAAAAGGGTCTAGCGATGCCCCTGCTGGAAACAGTGTGCTCTCTTATGTTAAATTTGTGATGTAAAATAACTAGCAACAGATATTTTCTTCCGCATTGTGACCAAATGAAGTGGATTATCTAAAAAACAAACAAACATGAAGAGCAGTGACTTTGTTCATATTGGTCATTGAATGGATGGAGTTAGAGCTGAATGCAAACATGCAGTCGAGTGTAAGAAAGGATGGGGTTTTAAGCAAAATAAATTATTTGAGAAGTCCGGTGTCATCAGAAAGCATCTCCCATAGGACCCCAAATTAACCCATTGGCTCAAAGAACCTGATTACATTATGTGAAAATCACAGTATGTACGTAATTTGAAATACATTATAATGACTATTAATGTCAGTTTTAGTTAGCTTAGCATAAAGAATCTGCAGACTTGCTACTTGACTGCCATTTCGCTACCAGATGCTTCCCGTTCAGAAGAGCATTTCCAGCTCTCCTCTCCCTCGTGGTAATTGTCGTGCTCAAGGAGCAGTGCTGATGGAGTGGGATCGATCACAGTATCTCTTCTCTTAGAAGCTCAGACACATGACCATTAAGCTTTCACTTGTTTGAACCTTTTCTACTACTATAAATTATAAGCAGCTTGCAGCTTGACAAGCACCAGTTCAAAGTAGCTTTCCTAAAACTACTCTGGTTGAGTCACGTTTGCTGTTAATAGGGAGAGCTCCATCTGGTGGTCACTCAGGATACAGACTCGCGGGCAATTATGATTACCAAGGTTGTTTATTTTTCTAAAGCTTTTGGTGGTTTAGGAATTTAAATCTACTGAGCGGCTGTTTTTGTGTAACAAGAATTACTCTTGCAGATTTTATAGAAGCATTACATCACTTGCTCACCGATGGACCTTCTTCTTAAAAAAAAAACAAACAAAAAAACAGCTTAATAAAAAAATCAATCACCACAAGTAATCGACACAACTCCAGTACACCAATTAGTGTCTCGTAAAGCAAAAAGCTGCATGTTTGTAATAAACAAATCTATCAAGATGTTTTTAACTTAAAACCGTAGCTTCAAATACGAGTCCTCTATTCATAATATTGCTTTCTCCAGTGAAAAATTTGTCCTGTCTGAATCAGGAGAGAAATATGCACAAATCAAGCACCGTTTACAAGCAAAACCAGTTTGAAACAAACGTGACAGTGGATTTTGATGTGAGAGGACAATAGGGGATGGATTTTTTAAACCCTAGAGGAAGCATTATTAAGGATTACGAGCTTGTATTTTGGCCAAAAGTGGAGCAGCATTTACTACACAGAGCCGTTGTTCACTGACAAGCTGCGTAAAACCACGATCATATTTCGCGCATGTTTTGCGCAGCTTGTCAGTGAACAACGGCTCTGTGTAGTAAATGCTGCTCCATGTGAAAGCCCGCAGGTGATGGAGATTTACCGCTGATTACAGAACGGCTTTACTGACAAGATGCGCGTTAAATATCGCATGCGATTTATCGTGCAGCCCTAATTTAAAGTAAAAATGCCTTGATTATACAGTAAATTTGGTTCTTACAAACACGCAGTTTTTCACTTTACAATTTGTTAATCGATGGACCGGAGTTGTGTGGAATACTTGTGGACTATTGTGATGTTTTTATCAGCTGTTTGGACTCTCATTCTGACGGCACCCATTCACTGCAGAGGGTCCATTGGTGAGCAAGTGATATAATGATAAATTTCTCCAAATCTGTGCCTATGAAGAAACAAACTAATCTACATCTTGGATGGCCTAAAAGGGGGAATACATTTTCAGCAAATTTTAATTTTACATTTTCATGTTTCATGTAACATTTTTCTATGAGCCTGTAATAGCTGATACGGAGTAAAAGGAAACACAAGGATTGGAAATAGAAAATGAGGCAACGCTATGTGCCACATGAAAGAAATGTGATTGAAAGCATCCCCTGAATGCAAGAATCCATAAGGTTACTCAGAAACACCTGGGAATGGATACAGGGGATGCAGGAGACAGTGTACTTCCAAATGAATTATGTGGCCATGTCCCTGAGGCTGGCTCCACATAGGCTTTAATGAAATGCTGTGTGGACTCCATAAAGAGCTGGCTTCCACCTCAAGCTCCTAGGGGAAAGCAACAGGCAGTGGTGCATTTTGTTAAGCATGCCCAGGAGAGGTTGTGAGCAACTTATGCAGCAACAATCCCACAGGCATGTCATTACATGGCCGAACCGATAGGAAAACCAGCCCACATAAAAAAAGAAAAACAGTATTCTCTTTGGAGATGAGGATTTAATTAAACCTGAAGGAAATTACTTTGCGACCACTGCTGGGGTTATAAAATAAGTGGAATATTAAAAATAGCAGAATGAATCGTCTGAGAATGAACATGTGTTGGTTAAATATGAGGTGGAGCTCTCCACGGGGTCTTTTACTTACTTGCGTTAGCTGATTAGCATCACAAAGGAAGGAAGCAGGTGCAGGAAACCCCTCTGAGAATGGAAAAGAGATGACAGACGACGGTGTGGATTCTTCAACGTACCTGTTGGGAAATTTCAATTAAGGCGTTTGGAATGAATTATGTAAAGAAGAATTGTGCTTGTGTTTGGATGTGTGCTAATCTCATTCTCCCGAATGGCCTGTGCTAGGGCACTAGTGTATACTTAGGGGTGCAACTCTGGTCTAACAAGTGGGGGACCAAAACTGTGTTCAAAATGTTGTCGTTTTCTTTGTCATTTACACTGTCAAAATGTCAGGAATTGTATAAATCAGGGAGTTTGAAGAACCGAATTAGCCAGATCCTGATTAGCGCGATGATATCATCTTGGATGTGACATTTCATCTCGGATGTAATAAGCGACGTCCGAAGAACGGGCCCCAGGAAGACCGGGTCAAGTTGTCACAAGCTCTACATCCAAGTAACCTTGTGTACTATTGTGGGGTGTCCAAGAAAAGGGAAATATTGAGAGGGAACAAAAAATCCCAAAAAAGTATTATCATAATGATATCAGATGGTTTTACCAGTCTTAATTTAGTATCCATAATTTAGGATACATTCCATGACCACTGATGTTGGTTATATTTTTTCTAACAATTTTCTATTTAAAAAAATTGTTAATCATACGTTTCATTTTTCTTGAAATTACCCTGATGTCCCCTAAATTTTTGCAGTGTCTGTTTTTGACTTGAGAGGGTCATGAGTTCAAAGTAATGAATAAAAAATATTATAATAAACATTATCTATATTAAATATATTTCTAAAATCTACACTTCAGAAAAAATAAACCGAACAACTAATAAATTATTACAACACCATGTGACCAGCCTCATTTGATGTAATTTTCTTACATCCCCCCCCCCCAGTTAATATTTAATATATTAAAATTTGAATTTAACATGATCAAGAAAATAATGTGACTGAAATGATCAAAATCAACAGTCAAAATGGTGAATTTGTCAACTATGCTAACCTATAATGCTTTTTTTGTTTGTTTGTTTGTTTGATTGTTTAATTAAATTTTAAATAACTAGAATGCTAATTCTCATACCTTTTCAATGTATAATTAATATCCACACGGTTTGGAGTTTTGCATAACATCTATTGAAATCACCAAAATTACCTTCAAGGCAGAATAATGATTAAAAAATTCTTTTCTTGACTGTGCAGTGAATATCACAATGAAAAATAAAATTATTTTAAAACAATACCTTTCACCAAGGAAATGACCCTTTCCCTTGTAATACCAAAAGTGTTTAATAATTAAGCTTGGCAACTTGCACATATGTTACACTAATGAAAAACATTATATAAACTGAAACCAAGACATTTTATTAAAATTGTTTTTGTACTTTTTGTTGATTGTGAAAAGTACCCCCAGTTATAGAATGAGCCATTTAGTTGTCAAAATTGGCAATTAGTTAGCAAACTGGTCTATCTTTTCATATGGTGCTTCAAAGAATAGGCTCATGTAAAAACAAACAAACAAACAAACACGGTACTGATCAAACATTACGATGATATAGGCCTACTCTTGATTGTATTCATATATCATATGGCATTATGGTAAGTTTTGGTACTAAGTACTTTTTCGTGTTTCGATTAACTTACGTTGTTTGGAAAATGCCTTTACCTGAGTCGTTCACAAGCTGCAGGTGTTGCTCTTAATCATGATCTTCTCCATCACTGGCAAACGGTAGAACAGTTTTCGGGCTTTTTTTTAATGGATAGGTAAATATTTCCACTTTATCTAGTGTTTTTGTACTTTGTATTCGTATCGCGTTATAGTTTTACCGCTTCAAGTAATTAAGTGCGTGTATGAATCGTCTAAACGATTCAGGCTGAATCGCGAATCGTTTTACTATCCAGCTAATGATTCATTGAAGAACCGACTCAAATGAGCATCAAACGATGCATTATGCCAACTTTCTTGGTGGTGCATACTAATTGTAGATGTACTTTTAGGGAAGATAAAGGAATAATGTATCTGTGATTACCAAAATCAGTTATTCAGCTAGAGGTTTTTTATTTGTAGCTATATATATATATATATATATATACAGATATATATACACATCTTTAATAATTCTTTAATAATTTAGGATTACACGAGCATTTGGCGGTCAATTAAACGTTTTTTTTAAATAATTTTTATTTAGCAGTCATGTAACGTGAATGCAATGACAACTCAATAATATTACTGACTGTAGTGTATTTGAGGATATCTCACTAAATGTCCACTCTAGACAGCATTAAAAAAACACACACATTAAATGCGAATAGCACACTAGCATAAAACTTTACTGTATCAAGAGCATAGACTGTATAAAAACAGATCTAGAGCAGAATTCAATCACTTTTTGTGGATTGATCCGCTAGGTGGCAGTAAGCACGTCTTTGAAGGACGAAATAAAAAACGAACCACAGAAAGACGGAAGCGAGCGTCGTATTATCGCTTGTATTTATGAGTAAATAATACGCGTTTAATTCGATCAACCATGAATCAGGAGCAGTATCCGCGATCATCCATTGAGGATGATTTTAATTATGGCACGAACGTCGCGACGGCGAGCGTCCACATCCGGATGGGTAAGTAGCGATTTACATGTATTTAAAAGGCTTTGGTGTCTACGTAATCGGTAATACAGTCCATACAATAGCATTGCCTGGAAATCAATAACATGTAAAACAGCTGGAGTGGGATCCTTATTTCATTTCAGTTATTTATTTCACCTTGTTTCATCATGAGGTCCAGTTAAAAAGGAGACATATGGCGCAAATGTTAAATCAGCTGTCGTGACAGGCTACTTATAGATTTTTTTCCCTCAAATGTGATTATTAGTTTTCTTAGAAATGCTGCATGTTTCTTATGTAGTTGTCAAACCTGCTTGTCGACGTTTAGTGTGAATGGTAGACATCCTGTTTGTGAATGTAAATAAACCCTGTGAAGAGAGACAAGTCATGAAATATATTTAAATAAATGTGTGGTTGAAGTGTTGACGCTCAAGTCTTATTTCTCTCTAGATTTCCTCCGCAAGGTCTACACCATCCTGTCATTGCAAATTATCATCACCACTGCTGTATCTGCCCTTTTCATGCTCTGTAACCCCATTAAAAACTTTGTGCACGAAAGGTAAGAGCACATCCTCCCCTGTAGGTTCACCACATCATTGTGGCTGTTCTATGGTACGAACTGCCCTTTAATCTATGTCAATATATTAATGTGATGCACTGCATTAATTTTTCAGTCCCTCTCTGGTGTTGATATCTGCTATCGGTTCCCTTATCCTGCTCCTTGCCTTGGCTGTGTACCGTCACCAGCACCCCATTAATCTTTATTTGCTGTTTGGGTTTGTGAGTATACCACTTTTTTTTTTTTTAAATAGACTATTAAATAATATTATGAACTACTGTAATATAATGACTGTAAATGTTTATGCAGACTTTGCTGGAGTCTCTGTCTGTAGCCACTGCGGGTAAGTTTATTCATTTTCTTAATTTATAGAAGTCCAGTCCCATAATATTAATGGATACATCCTTGATGGCTCATCTGATACCATATTTTTCTGCTTTCAGTGACATTTTATGAGTACACCATAGTGCTCCAGGCCTTTGTGCTCACGTCTGCTGTGTTCCTGGGTCTCACTGCCTACACTTTCCAGTCTAAAAGAGACTTCAGCAAGCTCGGAGCCAGGTAATTCTTTCTCATCCGCTTAAGGCCCAGATCTGTCACATTCATCATAGTAACTGAGTGCAAGAATTATTGTTTTAATCCATTTACTCCTGAATCCGTGCGGAATGATGTTCTTGTGTTGTGGCAGAAATAGTCTCTGGAGAAACATTCTTCTTTCCAGTCATTAAAATGAAATGTAACAAAAAATAATGGGGTTCCGTGAGTCATAACTCTATTATATGATGTGATGCATGGTCCACTCCTCAGCATGGGAAGTCGCTGGGAGGAAAAATGCACGTCTTTGTGAGAATTTCTTTATTCATATTATTGGTCTGTTTAATAGACAACCTGCTGCAACAGTTCTTGCTCTGTCGTTTATATGTATGTATGTATTTTTTTTTTTTTTAAATGCACATGTAGAAAAATCCCAATTGGTCATCTTTGTCTTTAGTCTGTTTGCTGGCCTGTGGATCTTGATCATTGCAAGCTTTATGAGGGTGAGTCTAAGGCTAAATTAATCAGAATGCTCTGGTTTCAATACAAGTTAAAATATTATATTGGTTTAAGTAATGGTTCCAATGTAAGTAAAAAATTATAAAATAGTATTATATATATCCACATTTCATCAACTGCGCAATTCTGTGTCCTTCAGCTTTTCTTCTACAATGACACAATGGAGTTGGTCTTCGCTGGGGCTGGAGCTCTGCTGTTCTGCGGGTTCATTATTTTCGATACCCACCTGCTGATGCATAAGCTGTCACCGGAGGAGCATGTCCTGGCATCCATCAACCTGTACCTGGACATAGTCAACCTGTTCATCTATATCCTGCGCATCCTCGACTCCATGAAGAAACACTGAATGTTGTGATGCTCTTCTTCACTTTCAGAGGTGAATTTTGGGTGCAGTGGTGCAAAAATAATATTATTTAATTTAATAGACTCCATGTATAATAATCAAATAAAAATGTGTTAACTAATATCCAAATTAAGTATTGCAGATCTCTGCAAAAACTTTGTGGACCACATAATATGAAATATTTATTTGAATAAAAGCCTTCAAAATGCACTGAATATAAGACATTAATTTCTTTGCATTGCAGTTCTTTGCAGTGTTCAGAATTAATGGAGTATGTGTGCTATTCTTCTAATTGGGTGGGCATTAACCGCAAACTCCTTGGATTTTGTTTAATTTCTGCCATTAGTTGAGATGAAGCTCCCCAAGACACTCCTATTGTATTGTAGTTTCCCCTTGTTTCCAAACCAGCTGCATAATTTCAACTTGCAAAGCGGTATTTGTAATTTAATGGCCAAATGTGAATGTTACAAACATGATTGTACAACTTAACTTGATCTGCTAACTGTGTTGCTGATTAGATTCCTGTCTTTAGTTGACTGTAGTGTGACCTGTAATCCATGGTGATTTTTCATATTTATTTAGGTGTTGTAGTGAATCAGTGTTTGTGGTTTGAGAACAAACTGTACATGAAGCCCGAGACATTTTGTTTAATTTGGGTTTGTATATGGGATGTTAATGATTAACTTAAAATAACTTATAACAAGACAGTCTTACTAAAAGGCCTGAATTACATGAAAACCATAATGCAAACATTTTAAAATGTAGTTAAACGCAGTTTTTGGTGTCACAATATAACATTCACTAAATAAACATAATTTTAAAGTATGCAGCATTCAGTCAGTTTCAAATGCATTAAAAATATTTTCCAATAGGTCAGTCTGCTCATTTTAATAAACTAAAAAAAATTACAAAATAATTGTTTACATAATATTCAGGGACCTCTATATGCCTGTGTCCAAAGTGCAATATTCATAAAAATAAAAAAAAGTACTTATCATAAAATATATTTCTCTCATTGATTTTTAAGGGCAAAATGTTCACATATAAAAACTGAGATGTCAATTTAATGTTCTTTGGTGTAAAAAAAATTTAAATAAATTTATTTTAACCCATATTTGTTGCTTTCATGTACAACAGTTAGTTGCTATCCTCGAATCTGATTGGTCGAGGAAATATAACAAAGTGCTGATGCCCTGTCATTGCATAAAAGAACACAGAAATATATATATTTTTAAAAAGGGTTACTTTTTTCACACGTTCAAAGTGAAAGCTTCTGCATACTTTGAACATTATATCATAAATGAGTGAAAATGGTCAGTTTGAACCATTTATTGATCTCTTGGCAGATAAAATCTGAATGTCTCTCAGTAGATCAGGTTCAAGGTTGAGGTCCTTTCTCAAACCCTCGGGGATTTCCAGCTTGCAGATGTCTTCTTTTCTCACCATACTCCTGATCAAACGTGTGCAGTATTCTTGTAATGAGTACACTGACAAAAACAAAGCATAAATATCCATTTAAAATGAAACTTTTGTGTATATCAAATGCATATGGAGCATCTTAGGATGAAGAATGGGCTCGCACCTGGTGCAGTCACATACACAGGCTGGTACCGCGGGTACCCGTACTCCTCATACTGCGCAGGAGTGGGAAAGTAAACTTCATTGAGGTTAGCCAGCAGTTTAGCTCCGTCAGATGCTCTGAAGATCCACGGATGAGCTGGAAAAAACCTGCTTTAGTACAAACCGGCAAGGGAAACTGGCTAAGTTTGCTAGCTCTGCGGTACTTACTCAGAAAAGTGTCCATCTTAAGCGATTTCCTCGGTTGTATGTCGCCGTAAGACACCGGCTTCCCCGCGAAGTCTAGCCACCATGCTTCGGCATTCCGGCTGGATTTATTAATAAAAGAGATATATGTTGGACCATACGAGTTGAGAGATTTCAAAGGTGCAGGCGCTTCCTGTTCAGCCATAGCGCTGGAGTGACAGAACACATATGCAGTGTCGCTGCATCACTGATAGGTGGCAGTATTACACTCTAAACCGCGATACACTGACTGACTGGAAGTGATGTTTAACCAGGACAAACCCAAGACCCCCAGTTTAAAAGTTGAATGAATTTAATAGCTAAGAACATTAACAACATTGTGTAACTCTTAACAGTTCATTAGTTAAAAGTTAGAAATTAGTTAACGGATGTAACCCAAATGTAGGTTTTATATTTAGGTTTTATATTTTTTCTTTAATAAAATGTTGATAAAAGCAATATTAGTTACAAGAAGATTTAATTTATTATTATTATTATTCACCATAGTTTGTTGACGCATATAGGCTATATATTGATTTGTTGTAACAAAACCAATCCTGGATTGGCAATCCAATTAGTGTATATACAGTAGTCAACATTTGAAGTGGATCATAAAAGTTCATCAAAGTTGTCTTAAGACAAGAATGGGTATTGTTTTGGTTTTAGCACAACTTTGATGAAAGGTTTTGATCCACTTCAAATGTTGACTACTGTCTGTGTGTGTGTGTGTGTAATATATATATATATATATATATATATATATATATATTAT